CTACTAGTTAGTACTTCTTTTTAAAGTAAGTGTCTTTCTTCTGGTTTCCTGGCCTGAGACTCATTAACAAATTCTGTAAATCCAAGAATACAAAAAATAGATGGATAATGTCAGTGCCCATTTACCTCAGCATTTGTGATGAGCATCTTCCTTTGGTCAATGTATGCTTCAACATTTAGACTTAGTTATCTTCAGCACAGTCTCTTATGAATCTGGTGCAGGGCTCCAAAGAGCAAAAGATTCTGAATGTTTTAAACTGCAATAATACTTTACAAAAACTATATTCAAGTCAGTCATGCAGAGGTATTTTTATTCAAAATATTGCAGTGAGAAGCAATATGGATATTCATAGTTTGCAAAAATTCAACCCAAATCTTGCCTGCTTCACAGTCTCAACATATATAGTTCCTATTAATTAAAAATTTAAAAATAACTTCCTAAGAGAAGTCATGACATGAAGATTTGTTTTGCCAAAATCACCACCTATGATCTGCTCCAAAAAAATTTCAAAGAGTTACCCATAGAACTAATACTACTATTATCTCTTGTTGCTCTTAGGGACCTTCCAACTCCCTTAATTAATATTGTGATTTAGAAACATAAAGTTAAGAAACTTTCCAGTTCCCAAGGGTGTGATTCTCCAAGTTCAGAACCAAAATAAATTGGGCAACTTTAATAAGTTATTTTAAGTCATTTGGCCCAGTAAAAGACCTGTTTCTTGAGCAGCATTTGAGTAAGCAGAACTGGAAGAGACTATTTGCCTATTCCGTTCATTCTATAGATTGCCCTTGAATTATACAGAAAACATTGCAATTAATAGAACTGTAAAAACGCCTTCCCATATGGCCTCTGAGCTTGTAAGGTGACTCATTTATTTTCAGAAATCTCTCCAAATATCTCAGTTACCTGAGTGTTAGAAGATATGACATCCTTAGTGAGCTTTTAAATGGATGAAAAGTGAAGACAGAGCATTGATCAATCAGATAAGCTATTACTATCAAATGCTCCTTGAATAAACTAAGTTCCTAGTGCAATGTTTGTGATTCTTTATAGATTATATAATAACTAGAGGTCCGATGCACGAAGATTCGTGCAAGAATAGGCCTTCCTTCCCCTGGCTGCCGGCATCGCCTTCGCTTGGGCCCGGAGCTGCCTTTCTGCCTTCGCTCTGGCCCAGAGCCGCCTTTCCACCTTTGCTCCGGCCCGGAGCCACCTTCTGCCTTCACACACTGCCCAGAGGCCCGGAGCGGCTAGGGCGGGGCGGAACACCTGTGCCCCAGACCAGCCACCACCATCTTTGTCATGTCAATTTGCATATATCCTCCTTATTGGCAGTGGGCCCTGCCATCTTTGTCACAAAGTGATGGTAAATTTGCATATTCTGTCTTTATTAGATAGGACTAAAGGCCCAGTGCACAAAATTCATGCATGGGGTGGGGAACCCTCAGCCCAGCCTGCACCCTTTCCAATCCAGGACCCCTTGGGGGATGTCCGACTGCTAAACCGGCAGTTGGATATCCCTCTCACAATCCTGGACCACTGGCTCCTAATCACTCACATGCCTGCCGACCTGGTCACTCCTAAATGCCCCCCCCCCCCGCCCACCTGATTGCCCCTCACTGCCTCTGCATGCCAGCCTGGTCGCCCCCAACTGCTCCCCCCGGCTGGTCTAGTCGTCCCTCACTGCCCAACCCCGCCGCCAGCCTAATCACTCCCATCTGCCCCCCCTGCGGGCATGGTCACCCACAACTGCACCTCTCCCTCTGCCTGGTTGCCCCTAACTCCCCACCCTGCTGGCCTGGTTGCCTCTTACTGCCCCCCCTGCCAGCCTGGTTGCCCCTAACTGCCCCTCTTCCGGCCTGGTCTCCCCTCACGACCCCCCTGCCAGCCTGGTCGCCCCACATAGCCTGCTGTTTAGTCGTTTGGTCATCCCTCACTAACCCCCCTGCCAGCCTGGTCACCCCATGCAGCCTGCTTGTTCAGTCATTTGGTCTTCCCTCACTAACCCCCCTGCCAGCCTGGTCGCCCCATGCAGCCTGCTTGTTCAGTCATTTGGTCATCCCTCACTAACCCCCCTGCCAGGCTGGTCGCCCTATGCAGCCTGCTTGTTCAGTCATTTGGTCTTCCCTCACTAACCCCCCTGCCAGCTTGGTTGTAGTCAGCCATCTTGTGAGGGTGTGAGGGTTAATTTGTATATTACCTCTTTATTATATAGGATACCTGATGGTACAATTCATTAGAATGAGTATTGGACTTAAAGTAAAAGAGTTATGGATTGAGCCCTGGCCTGTGTGGCTCAGTTTGTTGAAGCATCATCCCGTGCATGGAAGGTCTCAAGTTTGATTCCCGGTCAGGGCACAGACCTAGGTTTCAGTTTCAATCCCCAGTTCGTGTGCACACAGCAGGCAACCAACCAAAATATCTCTAATATCAATGTCTCTCTACCTCTGTCTCTCTCTCTCATCCTCCCTCTCTAAAATCAATAAATGTTTTTAAAGTTATGGGTTAAACTTTAGCTCAACTACAATTAGCTAAGTGATCTTATACAGTTGTGATACATTAATTGCATTAATGACCCTGGTTATTTGCTTCTTCCTAGGTCTACCTAGTCTGATTTTGGCCCTAGGCACAGGACCTGGTTTGATTATACAATGCAAGTAGAAACTTGTAAAGCACTTGCACAATTAAGTTAGCCCTCTCCCTTCCATCTTTGCTACTGTCATGAGAATATGTCCAAGTTAGCCAGCTGGAGGAATTGGGTCACCCTAGGTGAGCCAGCTGTCAGTCAATCTTCAACAAATTAGGGAGTCCCAAAACAAGCCAACACATAGCTGATTTGAGATACAAAGATAATTAGCAAAGATCACCTGGCTCCAACCCAGGTAAACTATTAACTCATAGAATTTAATAAATGTTTATTTTGGTATGCCACTAAAATTGTATGATTATTATGTTGCACTAGAGGCCCAGTGCACAAAATTTGTGCACTCGGGCAGAAGGGGAAGTGGGGGGGGGCGTCCCTCAGCCTGGCCTGCGCCCTCTCGCAGTCCAGGATCTGGGACAGCTTAGGCCAGGGAGAGGTTCCCACCACCACCGCTGCACTTGCCAGACATAAGCCCAGCTTCTGGCTAAGCTGCACTCTCTCTGTGGCAGTGCACTGACCACCAGGAGGCAGCTCCTGCGTTGAGCATCTTCCCCTGATGTTCAGTATGCTCACAGCAACCAGTCGTTCTGCTATTTGTTCTATTTGCATATCAGTCTTTTATTATATAGGATCATTGTATAAATGTAACACTGACATAACAATAGATACTTACATTACCTATCCAACATTAACTCACTTGGGTTTTTACCCTTCTTAAAAGAATCACAATTTTATTCATTTTTCTATCCTATTTTCTATCCATAGAATGTCCTAATTAGTTCAAGTCCCCTACCTTACTTTCTAAAAGCCTTACATTTTTACCTTTGATAAAGACATATACAATCCATCTGGAATTAATTTTGTTGTGTGGTATGAGACAAAAGTCAAGATTTATTTTTTTACTATATGAATACTATTTGCCTCAACATCATGTATTGAAAAGAGCCCTTCACCACTGCACTACAGTGTTACTTTTCACATAAATTAATTGACCATTTTTCTATAGTTCCGTTTTGGGCCTCTTGTTCTGTTCTGATGATCTATTTTTTATTGACTTTATTAGGGTGACATTAGTTAATAAAATTATATAGGTTTCAGGTATACAATTCTACATCATCTATATATTGTATTGTGTGGTTACTGCCCCAAGTCAAGTCCCCTTCAATCACCATTTATTCCTTTACTCTCTTCTATTTCCCCCCAATACCCCTTCCCTCAGGCAAGCACCATACTATTATCTGTGTCCATGAGTCTTTTTTTTTCTTTGCTTAACCCTTACACCCTTCTCACCCAGGCCCCAGCTCCCTCCCCTCTGTATCCATGAGTCTGTCTCCACTTTGTTAGTTTATATTGCTCATTAAATCCTACATATAAGTGAAATCATATGGCACTTGTCTTTCTCTGACTAGCTTATTTCACTTAGCATAATACTTTCCAGGCCCACCCATGCTTTTGCAAAAGGTAAGATTTCCTTCTTTTTTTATGGCTGAATCATATTCCATTATGCTTGGATACATGAAACAGATTGACAAATATTAGAAGGGGAGGGAGGTGGGGGAGAGGACTGGATAAAAGAAGGTGAAGAGATTAGCCAAAGAACATATATGCATAGAAATGGACACAGACAAAGTATGGTAAAGGCTTGGGGGCGGGGGCTGGGTACAGGTGGGCAAAAGGGGGAAATGGGGGACATCTGTAATCATGTTAACAATAAAAAAATCAAATATAAAAACCATCTTAAAGGTAAATCTAATAACAAGGTAGATTAATAACAAATTCCTCTTGGATCAGCAACATACTTCATGGATAAAGAGCCACGGAGACAGAGGAAAAATTGGAGCTCTATATTACCAGTGAATATTTGACTCAGACATTGTTTACATTTAATTTTCAAACAGCTTTAAAAATCAGTTATTTGGTTCCAAGTCCAAAGCAGTTAGATCCCATGTATCAGAAGGTCTTTGGAAAGAAGCTTACCACAGACATATTGAAAGCAGAAAAGCATAATAATTTAATGCTTCCTAGTTAAAGATGAACAAAAAGTTATAAAAATAGCAGTATTTTAGAACCAAAACATGGTTACAGCTACCTAGACAGAAGACAATCACCATTACATATTTGAATAGACTCCAAATAAAGTATTTCAGTAACTACAATATGAAAATTTCTAATTTTAGCTGAGTTTTAAAAATCTGAAATCAGGTTTCATTCTTTGTTGTAAAGAAAATAAGGAAGTGTGAAATTGACTTTGGAAATTGTATCAAAAATATTTTTTAAGGTTTTAACACTTAATATAACATTTTTTGCCTAGAAATTTCTCTTCCTATTACACTATCCCTCTATTTGCCCTCACAATCAAGTTCATCATTAACAACAACAAAATACAATCACTGACTCCACTGCCAAAACACTGAGGTTTACTTGCTTTCATTGTGCACCACACCAAGAAAGACTATTTTAAAGCTTGAAAGCATTGAGAGAGAAATTTGACACAGCAGTAAGAACCTATCTTTTTGACTCTTTGATTTTCTCATTGTGATTATAAAAATTACCTGTCCATTCCCCATTTACTTGTTAAAAACTTTTCTTCTAAGTAGATGTTTTACTGCCTCCTTCACATCCTTGTTTCTGAGACTATAGATTAAAGGATTCATCATGGGAGTCATCACTCCATAAAACATGGATATAAGTTTGTCAGTAGCATCCAAATCATCTGAATTGAGTGTCTCTTTAGACTTGGGCTTCATGTACATGAAGAGAATGGTTCCATAGAATATTATCACCACGGTCAGGTGGGCTGAGCAAGTAGAGAAGGCTTTGCTTCTACCGTCAGAAGTGCGGATCTTGAGGATGCTGGAGATGATTAATGAGTAAGAGGTGACAATCAAGAGCAGGGGCATCAATGTGAACAATGTCGTGGCCACAAGCATGATGAACTCATGGTCTGAGATGTCAGCACAGGCCATCTTCATGACAGCCAGAATTTCACAGGAGAAATGATTGATGACATTCCTACAAAACGTCAATTGTACCACAAGTGTAGTTTGTACTGCAGAGTTGATAACCCCTGCAAACCAGGACCCAGCTGCCATGGGCACATAGGATTTCTTACTCATGACAACAGGATATCTCAGAGGGTGGCAGATAGCCACATAGCGGTCAAAAGCCATCATGCCCAAGAGCACACACTCGGTTGTCCCCATGGCCAACCCAAGGAACATCTGCACCACACAGCCAGAAAAGGAGATGGTCTTTCTTTCTGAGAGGAAGCTCACCAGTGTGGGAGGAATGGAGGTGGTAGTGTAGCAGATGTCCAAGAAGGAGAGGTTCCCCAGGAAGAAGTACATAGGGGTGTGAAGGTGGGAGTCCACAATGCTAATTAAAATAAGGGTGCCATTTCCCAGAAGGATGACCACATACATTATTAAGATTAGCACAAAAAAGAGCTGCTCGAGCCTTGGGTAACCAGAAAGCCCCTTTAAAAAGAATTCCACCAGAATGGTTTGGTTTTCCCATTCCATTTCACTTTTTCTCTTTTACCTGTAAAAATTCAAATAATTTTTTAAAAAATAATTATTTATTTACTATGGTAACTCCAAGTTCACCAATGCATAAATATAAAAGTCTTCCATGAACCCAATAAGAAGGAAAAAAGAAAACAGGTAAGGGGAAGAAGAGAAAAAAAGGAAAGGGAGTAAATAAATTTAGAAAGAGAAGTATGAGGGAGAAGCTATTGTATCAATTACTCTTTCTGTTCCAGCAACTTCATACATTTCCTCATTTAAACGCCACAATAATTATCATTTTAAAGATAAGAAATGTATCTAAGCTAAAGCAAGAGAGTTTATTTTAGCCTGCAGTTATATATTTAAAATTAACATGTAGCAAAGGCCAGACTCAAGCTCAAGCTTGCTTGTTTTCCATAATTTATCTGGTATTTTAATGAGCTATAAAATCAATATGGAATCCATTATATCAGAGATTGGGTTAACTTGGAAAGGCAATATAGGTCCTGGGTGAGGGAAACTCAATAGTAACCCACTACATAATAAAACACCAAAATAAGTGTATCAATCTAATGGGAGAATGGTTAGCAATAAACCAAGCAGTGTTTATTGATTGCCTGATCACCCAAAAAACAGGTGCAATTTATGTAAAGCCCAATAATACGAAGTCTTTTTGTTACAACGTATATATACTTTTTTGGTGAGATATAATTTTTAAATTTGTATTTTCTAAATAATTATACAATAAAATTGATTTTGTCTATTTCAGTATTCAGTTCCATGAATTTTAAAACATATATAGATTCATGTAATTATCACCATAATCAGGACATGAAACTTTCCAATCACCATAAAATCTCCATTGTGCTCTCCCTTTATAGCCACCCTTCCATCCACTCATAAATCCTGGAAAGACTAATATTTTTCTATCCCTACAGTTTTACCTTTTCCAGAATGTCATATAAATGGAAATATATGAGCCACAGGTGTCTGGCTTCTCTCACTTAGCACAAAGCCTTTGAGATTCATCCAAGTTGCTATTGCTGAATGGTATTCCACTGTATGCATGTACTATAGTTTGTTTATCTATTTACCTGTTGAAAGACATTTGAGTTGTTTCCAATTTGGGGCAATTATGAGTAGAGCTGCTATAAATATTCATGCCCAGATTTTTGTGTGATCAATTTTCATTTTTCTTGGGTAAATATCCATGAGCAACATACTGAATGATATGAGATATGCATACCTAAATTTACTAGAAACTGCCAAACAGTTTTCCATAGTGGCTATCTCATTTTTGCACTCCAATAAGAAGTGTATGAGATTTCAAGTTGTTTTCCATCCTCATCAACACTTGGTATTGTCAGTATATATATTTCTTACACATCCTAGTAGGTATGCAGCAATATTGCATCATAATTTTAGTTTGCATTTCCCTAATGACTAACATTTGGGGAATTTTTCCCCATCTTTATTTTCTCTATAGTAAAGTGTCCTTCATGTATTTTGATCATTTTTAATTGGGTTGTTTGTTTTCTTATTGTTGAGTTTTGAGAGTTCTTTACATATTCTGGCTACGAATCATTAATCAGATATATGACACATATTTTGTCTACAAGTCTGTGATTTGTCTTCTCATTCTCCTAATGCAAACACATTTAGTTGCCATTTTGACTAGTTGCTTCTTAAATCCAACTGAAAGAAACACTATGATCAAAGGGACATCTTCTAAAAGTTCATTGACACCTCTTATCTTGGGTGAATCCTCTGGAAATAACTACTGCCATCATTCAGGGGTCAGGAAAGGTAGGTTTTGCATTCAAAAAGCTTGACTCAAAGTCTCAGACCACTCCTTTTAATTTTCCCTCAGAAACAGAGCTTGCCCCGCCCCAACACACATACTAATTTATAGCAATATCCTTATTCATGGACACAAAATCCATTGAAGGTGTTCTAATTCATTCACAAAGCAAATAGGCACTTAACATGTAGACCATTTCTCCTTATTCATCAAATTGACAGAAAATTTTAGGTCTGAATTGAATCCTTTGGGAGTATTTCAACTAGCTTCTAATTACCTATATTACCTTTTGTCATTATTAGGGCACTTCAACTTTTATTCTACTTTGTCCTTATTTCAATCAATTCTACCTTTTATACTTTGAGATTCTTTCACACCTTAAAAATACGTGCTTCTTTTACTCTGAGTCCCAGATCACCTTCGTAATGCTAGCCACCCAAATCCCAATTCCCTGTTAAATGATGACTAAAAAGCAATTTCACTGTCTCACAAAGCAGGCTCACTTTGTCTATTAAAAAGAACATGTATGTTTTATTGAATTTGAGATTGAGATTTTTACTGACATACAGATGTGCTTTAGAGCAAGTCTTTCTACACAAAGTTTCTATAAACAATAGAAAACTTCTAGCATGAAGTCACAGGATGTTAAAAATATTAAAATTCAATAAACACAATTACCCCTTCCACATCCCCAACCACAGAGAGGAGTAGGCAGCTATCAAGCTTGGAGGGAAACTTCCTGTGAGATGGCTTTCCCAATTATGAGACAGAAGCTTAAGCACCACATGGCCTAACAAGAGGGTGTGGTGCAAGTCTGTGTTGCAGAATCAGCCACAGGGCACTCCACCTCCTATTTCCCCAGTTCTGCTTCTTCCCAACCCTATCTTGACTGGGGGCCTGCACAAGCTGTCAATTCAGTCCATACTGCTTCCCTCAGTCTTCACTGAAAGCCTTTGTTCAGTGGATTGGATCAATGATAGGCCTCTGGCTCTGTGCAGAGCACATGGACACATACTCTACATGGTTTCTATATGGATTAAATCTGTCTATGGCCAGCAATGACCTCAGAGCTAGGGTCACTCATCCATGGTCCCTCTGCTTACAAGGCCAGTAACTAGCTATGTGACCTTGGGCAATTAACTTCTGTGTCTCAATATCCTTACCTATAAAAGGACCTTAATAGCATCATTGTGGTGATCTGGGGAGAGTTAATAAAACAATGCAAATAAAGCACCTACCCTATGGCAGGCACTATTTTGGTTTCCTTCATCTTCCCTTTACTTACTCTTTTTTTGAGTCCTTTTACACTTCTGTCCCCAGTTTCATGCTCTTACAAGAATACATTTAAATTTTTATAATCAGACCTGTTAGGTAGCTCTCTTCTTACTCAACCAACCTACTAATATTCATGACATCTATGATATGACATGGATGCACATTATACCAAACTCTATTCACTTTGCAATGAAGGGCATTATACAACTATAGCAAAGGCCAATGCCATTTAAAATAAGGAACTCAAGGGGTTGACATTGTTTTGAAGAAAGGTTATTTCAATTCATTCATCTAAAAGTTAAATGAAAGTGTGTGTGTGTGTGTGTGTGTGTGTGTGTGTGTGTGTGTGTGAAATATTATGTCTAAAGTCACCATGGGAATACATTACCAACAACAAGAAAGAAGAATTACAAGTTCTCAAAACCATTCCCAAAATACTCATGCAAACATAACTATGAAAGTCAAAATTATTTCCTGTTAGCTAAGAACTCATTGTTCTTCTTCCTTTTCTTTTTGCACAGATCAAAAGATGTATTCAAGAGCAAGTAATGAAGTTTTCCAAATAGCATCCTCAGTGCAGAAGCCCCAGGACAGGGACTGTCTGCTCATGATTAGCACTGGACATACATTTGCTAACTGAACCAAAGGGAACAGAATTAGTGTTACGAGGTATATTGTTACAGAATCAAAAGTTTGGTGACACCAGCCTTTACATTCTGAATCAAGGGTACAAGTCCACTGCCTATTTTACAGCAACCTTATTGCACCAGTTAGAAATGACAACATTAGACATGAAGGCACTTGTACTGACGTTAAGGAACCAGTAAAGTATATTTGGACTAAATGAATCTCTATTTCCTGTAAGATAAGTTTTCGACCTAAATACCCATCTTTTTGGTTATTTAAATTACTTTGTATTTCAAATTACTTTTTGGTCATATTTTTTCATTTTTTTCTTTATTTTCTTACTATATCCAAGAAAATCCTCTTAGAATGATTTTAGTCCTATTCTCTTTAGACTCTCTATGCTAAAAGAAATATCCTATCCCAAAACACATAGCCTATTTCAACTCAGTTCATTGGACTAACATCCCCTTGGATTTGTTAGTAGCATGTTTTCAGCAATTACCTCTAAACGGGAGGTCAACTCACCTCTTAGGATGCAACACACAGCCGATAGTTTTGCCTTGATCTTCTATTTGCAGCCTTTTGTACAAAATGTTCTATGAGGGTGATGAACTTCTGAAGGTGTTACCACTGAGGAGCCAGAGTGTCACAGGACTTGTTGTCTGGAAAACATTGATGGCAAAGTTACTATTTCAAAATTGTTTTAAAACCTATACGGTACAGCCAATATTGATTACAAAGGAAATGTATTTTGGTTCTGCTAGTTCAAAGTAAGAGGAAAATGAGTCTTTGAGAATCTGGAAGATTCATTTGCCCTTCCAGCCCAGGTTGAAATATTGCCCCATTCTAAAGACCCAAGAAATTCTCCAAAGAATCTTCTCCAGGCTCAGGAAGGTCATTTAAATATTTCTTGCTCTCAGGGACTTATGCAATTTTCTAAGCCATAACTTCAAATTGCTTCAGAGGAAAGAGGTTCAAAACTTTTGAAAACTTCAAGAATAATCCCTGAAGACTTAATTATATTAGATCCATTACTGTATTTCAAATAACCAATTGGAAGTCTTGAAGATGTGTCTTACCCCATTCTCAGTCTATAATCAGATATTTGCTGGAATCCTCACTCCAAACATATTCTAATGGCTTTATCCAGACTTTTGTTCATACTACCATGCCTTATTGATAATATAGTAGAAAGACCTAATTTAGGCACATTAACTCTTGGTTATAAATAATAAGAATGAGAATAAAAACTTATAAGGTTCTAGGCATTGTTATAAGCATTTTTATATATTGATATTTAATTTGAATTTGTTAA